CCCCCCGCGAAGGAGAATCAGTTTGGTGTCTTCTTTCCCCTCACTCGTGAGAGGCCCACGGTAACTGCGTGAATGTTACATTTGCTCACTTTGCATTTTGCAAATTGATAAACATAAACAATTACAAGATATATTTTTGAAAGCATTCTTACTTTACACCATTTTTTCACACCTGCCTAAAACTTTTACACAGTACTGTATATTTACAGGTAGGTCACGATTAGTGTGAGTTCAAATTGTTGCAATATCCGATTTAGTGTGAGTTATAAATTGATACCAGGTCCCATTTAACGAGAGTCAGAATTCAGTTACTGCAAGTCTAGCATGTGCACAGTTGAGGCTTTGGATGCTAATCACCTTGTGTGCAAAACGGGGAAAAGGAAGGTTTCGTTTGAGGAAAGCTCAGAAAAGAAGAGATTCACTTTGAAGAACTGCAGCAGAATACAAGAGATAACAGAGACAGTTACTGTTATACGGTATTTCATTAATAAACACCTAAACATTTACGTTCAAAACATTTCATTCCCTCTTTCCGCTGAGCTCCCTCTTTTCCACAGAAATCTCACTTCGAAGAGTGCGGATTCAAACAATGCAATCATTTCGTGGGATTCTGGAACTGCCCTCACCGGGGCCTACCTGCGTACACCGCTTCCTACGCCAAAGCCTTCTTGAGAAAGTTTGCAAAAACCCAGCCATCAAATAAACCCCAATAAAATTAAAACAATACTCAGCAAGACACAGACATTAAAAAAAAAAGGTGTGTGTATGGAAAAAACGCACTCTTCCACCATCTGCACCAGGAAAGCCCGGTGATTGACTGCAATTAATCTATGAACTAATTAAATTTAAAGCTTTTTCCGGCGGGGGGGACAGCCTCCCCCAGACATTTCCCCCCTGCTCTTAAGGGCTGGAGTTCCCTAGGAGCTGCAGGATCGATGGAGGGCGACTGTTTTGGGTGGCTTTTCGATCCTTTCCCTGCAGACGCTTCTCCGGACCAAATTGGCCAGAGCCCCTTTTTGTTGGGAGACGGGCGGCTGTCGCAAAGAGGATAAATACCATTAAAATAAAATAAAATCTCAGCAACCCACCCGTGAGCATTAGTCGTG